AAGAATAATGGAAACATCAAAAGCCAAACTGATTTGATTAAGGTTAGCTTTAGGTTTTAGGGTTATGAAGTTAAGTTTAGAGGGTTTTATTTGTGGTAAAATTATTTCAAGAGGAATCTTTTCAAAAAATGTGGAAAGGAAGTTAAACACGAGAAGTTCTCATTCCAGTCCAAACAGGCCATACCGGGTGGACTTAAGGCATTAAGTATTTCACTATTTATGCACCGCTTGTTTTAATGCTTTAATAAAGTTCAGAACGAATTAAAGCCCGTTATAACGGTTTTGAAGCTTAGAAATGCTTTAAAAAAACAGCTAATAAGTATCAATATTCAACTAATAATTTTATTATTAACTACTTTTTAAAATTGTTCTGGTCTTTTTTGTAACTTTTAGATTATTTATTATTGTTTAGGTGACGATGTTTCCTCTCAATTCGAAAAAATTAATTACAAACTTTCTTCACAAGCTGGCCAATATGACGAGTTGGATAGTCAAAGTTGCGCTTTCAAAAATCAATATGTTCCTGAGCCAGATGGAAACTACACATTGTTAAAGTATAGACATGAAAGAAGTAATTAACAAGGAAAAGAGTTAAATCAAACAAAAAGAACATCATAATCGTACTAATCTTTGTAGTTTCATCAAATTATAAAAAATAATATGAAATATAAGTAATTTTTTTAAAGCTTTAAATAGCTTCAATTGACTGAAGCTGTTTGAAACTGCACAAAAATTGTTTAAAAAAATGTTATCATAGCTAAGCATGTTATAATGCAAAAATATCATTCTCTTCCTTTGGACGGCGAATTTATAAGCCATTGCGATTTATAAAACGAAATAAAAATGGGGAAAATATGATAAATTAAATGTAATGTTGTATGCGGGTTTTTCCTTATTTGCGAATACGTCAATAGGGAAAAGACTAAATCTGTTTAGATTTGTAAATTACACAATGACTTAATTTCGCTTTCTAACAGTTTTTCTTATACATTTTACCGTTCTTAGTAACTATTTCTCTCGCGTTTGATGACACAATCTCACTTAAATTTTACTCTAATTTTTCGTATTTATTTTGGTATACTTAATGTTTGTTCCTGAGTTTCTTTCATATTTTAAAGGTATATAAACTTATATACATAAATATACATACAAAAGCTTATTCTCTAATTTGTATTGCTTAACAATTTTTTGTTCAACATCTGCTACTGCAATATAAATTTACTCTCTCTCACTATCTCTCTCTCTTTCTCTCCATATCTCTCTCTTTCTTTCCATCTCCCCCAAAATTTTTCCATTAACTTTCTTCCTTCTCTCAATCTCTCCCTTTCTTCTTCCATCAAGCCCTCTCTCTCTCTCTCCATGCTGTTTGTAGCACCTGCAAAAAATTCACGATATATTTCTGAGTGCTTACAAAAAATGTCAATCATTTTACCTATCCTCCTTTCGCACTATTTAGTTATCCATATCTCTCTCTCTCTCTCTCTCTCTCTCTCCCCAATCTCTCTCTTTCTCTCCACCTCTTCCAAACTTTTTTCCATTAACTTTCTTCTTTCTCTCAATCTCTCTCTTTTTTCTTCCATCAAACCCTCTCCCTCTGACTGTCTGTCTACCCCCTTCTCGCTCTCTCTCTCTCTCTCTCTCTCTCTCTCTCTCTCTCTCTCTCTCCCTCTGCCTCCCCCTCTGTTTTTCTTTAACTAACTTCATAATTTTATTCTCTTCCTTAAATAGAGTGATAGATGAATCCATCAATCTGTGTATATTCCCTTTCGCTAACATTCTCTCACTCTCTGTCTCTCTTTCTCTTTCTTTCCTTTATCACACTCTTTCTTTTTTCTTAATAACTTTTTCATTAAACTTCATTAAAAAGAGTAAATGATCAATCAATCTATATATATTACCTCTCTCTCTCTCTCTCTCTCTCTCTCTCTCTCTCTCTCTCTTTCTCGTAAGCCGATAAAAATCATATATTCTATCTATCATTGATATGCACATGAGTTCATGTTTAGCAACATGTTATGACGATTATTTTATCATAATTAAAAATCAATCGCTTTAGACCAATAATTACCCTTTATATTGTAAACAACAAAACAAATATTTTGTAAAAATTAATCGAAAAAATAAAAATCTACATTAATGATCAATTTTTATTATCGATTTAAAAAAAAAATAGCATTGTATACTTGATTGTTGTGGACTAATTGAAGACGGAAACTATTAAATCCTAACACTATTAACTATTATAACACACACGTAACTTACAATTATCAGCTGTTACGTACTTGCAGTTTCGATGGTTATATTCGATGTGGATCATTTGGCTAATCTGGAACATTTAACCTAGCTTTGTCTTAAGCACCGGACCATATCACAGGCAAATATATGCTCATTTAAAAAATCGAAAATGTCCCGTAAAGGATCATTTGACTATTTCAGCAATGGCAAACACGGCTGAGTAAGACTAACAATATTCGGTTGTTACTAGTCTGGCTCACCGGACAGAACTGATTCTACAAGAAGGGGTTGATTATCCGACGTTTCACCGACACATCCGAATTAGCCCTTACCTCGGAAATTCCCGTTTTATTTGTCCCAGCCTTCAACAAAGGATGCCTGGGGCTGAGGAATTAGCATAAGAAGGAGCCCTTTGTTTAACCCCGAGATTCTCACGATGAGCGACCCTTAATGCGTTTCATTACGCGATTTGCATACCCGTCCTCACACCCTTTCCTTACTCCCACCTGTTGATCCCCGGCATAAGACCCATGCCGAAATTAATAATTCTCCTCATGACTAACGGGCGGAAACGCGAGCGTAAACCCGAGATATGTTCTCGTTTCACGGCCATGGAGGGCGTAGGCAATTATCGTAAACATTACACTGCATGATCCCAGCATAATTTCATGTCGTAAATTTACACATTTCCCACTTACTAGGCTGCGGTGAAATTCATTTTGTACATGGAATTATTGAAGGTCTTCGCCTTTTGTCTTCCAATGCTATCTGATTAGATTATATTTTTAATCCATTTTCAACATTGATCTGAAATTCACTATTTTTCGTGGTCCGCTTGACCAATTAATTGAATGAGATTAATTGGTCAAGCGGACCACGTAAAATAGAGCATTTCATGAATTAAAATGAAGAATACTTCACTAGAGCTGTCCGTGGCCATTTCATTGGTCGCCGAGAATCAAATAGATTACACGACATTTGAAAAATGGCAAAAAGGAGGGAAAATTCAAAAGGTGGGGTTGACATGAGAAGTTAATGCCCGAGGGGATCGAAGTCACGATAGCTCAGGTGGTAGAGTAGCGGCGTTTCAAGCCGAAGGTCGTGGGTTCGAATCCCGCTCGTGACACTGACTTTTTTACCTCAACTAAAAACCTTAACTAATGGAATGATATCAATTGGTGAAGCGGACCACGAAAAATAGTGAATTGAACGAATTAAAGTGAAGTATACTACACGAAAGCTCTCCGTGGCCATTTCGTTTGACGCCGAGAATCAAATAGATTACACGACATTTGAAAAATAGCAAAAAAAGAGGGAAAATTCAAAAGTGAGGTTTAGATGAGAAGTTAGTGCCCGGGTGGATCGAAGTCAAGATAGCTCAAGTGGTAGAGTAACGACGTATCAAGCTGAAATGATTTTTCAAGATTTCTAAGAATTGGCTCGGGAGCGTCGGTGGCCGCAACGGTTTAGGCGTTTACACGGCTCTCATCACTGTAAGGTAAAGGTCCCGGGTTCAAATCCAGCGGCCCTGCATTCGAACCCGACATACTTACAAATGTGCTTTTTTCAAAAACACCGGCAGAGGGTTTATATGACCTCTACTGTGGGGAACCCTCGTAAAAAAAAAATTGACAATAAACTGATGTGACAATAGGTGGTGTGGTTTGTCGGGTTTAGGGATTGGGTGAACCATGGAATTATGCTTAGGAAATCTATGATTTTCTCTGAAGTTTTTGAACGATGGAAGGGAAAATTTATAGGTGTATGAGGTAGTGTTGACGAGCAGTGTATATTTATATGTGTAGGTCTTTGTTACACCCCTGTGTATATAACATATAGCCTAGCTCATTGTTGACCAGACGTGACTGTTTAGCAGTTATCAATTTGTTTTACTTACTAATACACAATTGTATTTTGTAACAGCTTATATATTCATGTCATGTTCACTGCTGTACTAGAGAACCCTTTGATTACCATTTTGTATTTTATGAATTGTCGAATAAATATGTTGGCATTTAATATTTGTGTAATATAAATTTATTTGGTGATATGTCTAAATTATATGGTTGTAGAAGGATGAATTGCTCATTCCAAATGTGCAGATGGCCAAGTCCTGTCCAATAGCCTACATTAATGCTGAGACACAAGATACATAATAGATTTTACTTTGGAATTTATATGAAGAGTAACCGTGTTGCAAAATAGAAAAATAGAAAAAGCATCATAGACAGATGTGTGTGGTGTTTAATGACCGTTAGTTGATGATTATGTGAAGATCGTGAGATGTGATCTGGATACATCTTTACAGAAAACAAACACTTTTAGCCCTGTAGATGATCTCAATAAAGATCGAAAGGTTGGCACGATAAAGAAAATGTTTTTCTAAATCCACATCATATCAGATCGCATCTCACGATCTGCAAATAACCATTATAGACAGAGGGAAATGATTGGAAGCCAAACAACAGTAATATATTCGTTGAATGCTGTTTGTTATTTTAGGTGAATTTTTCCACTTTACAGGTTCGGGATGGACTGGTTAATTTGACACATTTCTCTATCGCGTACAGGCAATTTAATTACGTCAATATTTTATTAGACAGTTACATCACCGCTTCATGTGTAACGCATGGCGAAAACGGGCTAATGAAGAATTGAACTCATGGGAGCGTGAACTATGGCAGGACGCAACGCTAAAATGATTTCGGCCACATATAAAAGGATCTGTAACGGTCTCGACGATCATTCTATAATAACACAACGGAATGAAATTAGCCATCGTACTCACCTTTGCCGCTGTCGCTGTTGCACAGCACGGCGGCGAACACGGCCACGAACATGACTACTATGTACGTATATCTTAATTTTAAATTTTTTTACATACCAATACTTGTTCTTTCCAGTCACCACCGCATTACAGCTATGAATACAAAGTAGAAGATAAGCACACAGGCGACTTCAAAAGTGCACATGAGACGAGGGAAGGCGACAAGGTCAAAGGTTACTACATGCTCAAAGAACCTGACGGCACAGTCAGAGAAGTACACTACACGGCTGACAAACACAACGGGTTCAACGCTGAAGTAAAAAGGGTCGGGCACGCCGTTCACCACTATCCACTCCATCACTATTAAATTAACTTAACAAAATCCAATAAAAGTTGATAAACCATAAAAAATCTTTTAATGCCGTTGCACCAAAGTTTTAACTGACTTTTAGTTTAAAACATGAACTCTGAAAACTAAGAGCGAAAGATTTAAGACATAGGCAACTAACTTATATGACGGAACATAAATCAGTTTGGACAGCCACCCCATTCTATCAGAATCCCTTACACTTCGCAATATCGCGGTATTATGTCAACGTAACATAACTGCCAAGCCAGAAGGAGTAAAAGCTTCACTCTTGCACAATACCTTTCGAGAAATTATATTAGACATGTTAGATTATGAAAATCACAAAAAAACGAGTCCAACCATTGCCACTCTCCCTTCACCCAAGAGCTTATGATTTTCAGCATATTATCAAAAACCTGCTCCATAAAAACTCCTGGATATGACCTATATAACCGCCGAAATCCTTTTATTCTTTCCTAAAAATAATACTCACTTTCTACTGTTCTAAGGACCGTTTGAGAGAGAAAGGTTATGTACGTTTCAAGCAAATTGCAGGAATGTCGGGAAGGGCTCGGGATACAAAATGTTGGAAGCGAAAGTTGGGGTGAAAGGTACTCCTGAATTAATAAATCCTGAACATACTGAAACTATGCTAAAAGGAACTAGCCCAATCACTACCTCTTTCCTTTCCCAAAAGAGCTTTTCATCCTTCAGAGGCAAAGCATTCTCTTAAAGAATATTTTAGATGCAGCATTACAATCAGTGAAATCTTTGAATTGATCCAGAAAAAATGTGCGTCTTCTTCACTATTCTAGTGCTGTCTTAAGAACTATATGAAGGAGAAAATTGTATGCCTTTGGTGCTTTAGGCGTCTCAGAGGATTGTCAGGAATGATTCGGGATAAGAGGATTTGAACTACGGATTGGGATGATTCTCATCCTGACATAATTATATATTTTCATCCAGAGGTCTAGCATATAATCAAAAACTTGCACAAAAAGAAAGCTCCTGAATACAACCTTACAACATACTTCTATTCCTCCCAAAAATTTTAATACTCTTTCTCTACTGTTCTAAGAACCTTTTTGAGGGAGAAATTCGCAAGTCCTTTGGTGCTTTATGCGTTTAGGATTGTCGGAGTTAGGTTACTAGGTACCATTAAATTAATTAAGGTTTCTAGTTGAGATAAAAAAATCAGTGTCACGAGCGGGATTCGAACCCACGACCTTCGGCTTGATACGCCGCTACTCTACCACTTGAGCTATCGTGAGTTCGATCCACTCGGGCACTAACTTCCCATCTCAACGCCACCTTTGGAATATTCCCTCCTTTCTGCCATTTTCAAATGTTTCACCCGAAGGTCGTGGGTTCGAATCCCGCTCGTGACGCTGACTTTTTTATCTCAACTAAAAACCTTGATTAATTGAATGATATTAATTGGTCAAGCGGACCACGAAAACTAGTTGAAGGTACTAGGTACTTTAAGTTAAGGATAAAAAGTTTTCCTCTAGGGGTGAGGAGTTAAGTTTTAAATATTGAGAGAGCAGTCAAATCGCTCTATAGGTTCACCCTTATCTTACTCGGAAATAAATCCAAAAAATACTGCACTATGCACTAATATCAGACATATGAGTATTGCAAGATAGAATAAGAAATTTCATAAAATTGTTTGCATTGTTAGATCTGTCAGCTACATTCGAAAGGGTTGATCGGTACGCATTGTTTCTTACGCTATCTAAGATACACTAAGGAATTTGTATAGTGGGTCTGCTTTCTCAGGATAGCAGCGGGTTTTAGTAAAATATTTTAAAAGGAATAAATGGCTAAAGCAGGGTTGTGTATTGTCTCCCCCGTTCTTATCCTTGATCATAGAAGAATTATTCATTTCAACGAATACAAGGAGGAAACATAAAGATAAAATTATGGGCCTATGCTGGTATAATGATAACACCCTTAGTTCACTATGGTGATGACGAGGGAATGCTAGGAAACTGGAGTTTTTTATTCCCCAAGTACAACAGCCATCTGGCTTATTGTACATAGTGTCTTATTTCAGTTTTATTGACTCAATCCCTACTTTAAACACTAGAAAGACATTGACTGTCATCACTGTATGCAAAGGTAGTACAATTAAGGATGATAAACCAAACGAAATAAAGGCTTTGGAACTTTGGAATTTCACTCTTGTACACTTAAGGAGAGATAAACAGGACATCGGTTCTATGTAACCTTCCACCAAATACGACGACTGAAGAAAGTTATCGCTGAACTAACAGACAAAAAATTCTACGATTGTTCAGATGATTAAATTGGATAAAAGTAGAACTGAAATTCGCCGTATCTGGTTACTTTTGCTCCTAGTACGAATCTGAAATGGTATTTAAGCTCAAAAAACTCTGTCATAAATGTCTTACATCAGATAGTAGGTAGCATTTCTACTGAATTTTCTATTTGACACTTTTTATCATCTTGTGGACTCAATGCTAATTTATTAATTTTTTCAGTAAATACGTCAAATATCACTTGTGGATTCTAAAATCAGAAACTATGTCCGACATGTAAAAGTTTTCAGTTTGATAATAAGAAACATAGCTGAACAGAATTGTCTAATGTTATGTCGTAAACAACCCCTTAAAGAAGGGCTGGAGATTTCTATTCAACCCATTCGAGGAGGCGAAACCAGTCGGATTTGCATAAATAGTCGCCCGTTTGTTTCACATCTATAGTCTTTATTCCCACGATTATCAATTCATTTATTCCCTAATGTTCCAAATTTAAGAAGGGGTGGCTCTCCAGGTGCCGCTAATCAGCTCTTCTGTTTCTATGCTAATGGTAAGAACGGATCCTACGGTCTGAATTAATTCGCCATTAACCAAACGTCGTTAAACCCCTCAGTGGTGTACTGTCTCTACGTTTTTTTTCACTATACAACACCCGGCTTGGTTGTGAAAAGAGTTGCGTTATGATCTACGACATTTCAAACAGGAAAGTAAACTAAGGTTGAAAAAAGACGATAGGAAGAATTAATCAATCTTTTTTTATGTAAGGTTTCGGTTGAAATGAAAAAGTTAGTGCCACGAGCATCATCGTAATCGACATTCTCCTATCTTCTGGAATGCTACTCGGGTACTATACTGGACAAGGCATTCCTTAGATCGAGTTTGTCACTCTGGCCTGCCCTGGAAACCCAATGGCCTCCGTCCGTGCATTTATAACCCTAAAGTCTGTTCGATAAATTAATTAAGTTCGAAACTGAATATCCTTCTTCCCTATCCACTATACCGACGAGGGTATTCCACAAAGAAACATTATTGCTACCATTATATTTACTATAGACATTAATATCTATACATTAATATCTGATACAATATCATTAACATCATTCAATTAATATGGTTTTTAGTTGAGATAAAAAAGTTAGTTGCACGAGCGGGATTCGAACCCACGACCTTCGGCTTGATACGCCGCTACTCTACCACTCGAGCTATCGTGACTTCGATCCACTCGGGCATTAACTTCTCATGTCAACCCCACCTTTTGAATTTTCCCTCCTTTTTGCCATTTTTCAAACGTCGTGTAATCTATCTGATTCTCGGCGACAAATGAAATGGCCACGGAGAGCTTTAGTGAAGTAAACTTCATTTTAATTCATTACATTCACTAGTTTTCGTGGTCCACTTGTCCAATTAATATCATTCAATTAATTAGGGTTTTTAGGTGAGATAAAAAAGTCAGTGTTACAAGCGGGATTCGAACCCACGACCTTCGGCTAAATACACCCCTGCTCTACCACTTGACCTATCGTGACTTCGACTCGGACACCAACTCCCCATCTCAACCTACAAACTTTCGAATTGTCCCTCCTTTTTGCCATTTTTCAACTAACTTTTTTATTTCAACCAAAACCTTACATAAAAAGATTAATTAATTGAAATAAGTAATTTGGTCAATAGACGGCCAAATATAATGGATTTGATAGGAATGTTGATGTCGTAGATTATACCGAAATAATACTTCCAATTTCCATTACCTTCCATTTTACTTATCCGATTACCACTTTCATGCAGTCTTGGTGTTCTTTAAGGACATTTTAGCACTAGCCCTCTTCACTAGTGACCACATACCATAGAACTTGTCCTTCATATTCTCTGACGACACACATTATTTCCAAATTGTTCCTATTTCGGACATCTGTTCATGTCAGCTTCATACTTGAAGAATCAATATTAATGGAAACAACCCTAATATGGATTGTTATAGCATTCTAGCAACTTCAAAAAGGACCTAGAGAAATAAGCGAACAAAGCTCACCTACTTAACGATAGTGTATTTTTCTGAGCTATGGATATAACAAATATTTCGGTAAACTACTAATTATTGTACTAGAGCGCGTATGACTGAACCTTGTATTCTGGGTAATGTATAGTATAAGTATAGTATAATCGAGGGAAGTTTCCTTAGCAATCCCAATAGGAGCAGGACCCTTTTGTCAAATTTAACATAACGCCATAAAACAGCGATAAATCTTTTACCTGATGAAACCAAATGTCAGAAACTGGCCAAACTCTTAGCCATAAAGTCTCGTCTAAACTTCCATATTTACAGACCTTGTGCAGCAACGCGGGACGTAGATAGGTCGCAATTTGTTGTTTATTCGTTCAGAGGCTACCGACTCTTCGTCCGCCACCAACCCCAGTCCCCTCGTGGTTGAGTCAGTCACCTCCGGAATATTATCCATCCCCCTAGCACCAGCTTTTTCTCTGGGCGTTCCTGTCTTTTCATTATGCACCCACAACAGTTTTGCCTTTAGTATCGTTCCCTCAAGTGAACAGTCTGAATTTATTTCCAGGAGGAAAGATTGGTTCTTCTTGCAGTCCAAGGCACTATCAAAATTTTTGATTCATTTGATTTTTCTTCACTCAGCCTTCATTATGGCCCATCTCTCGTAGCTATAGGTTACTCTTGGAAGTACCATTGCTTTAACTATCTTTACCTTTATTGTCAGTATGATTTCTATGTTATTCACGGTTTCATCAAGGTTTGCCATTGTTCTCA